GAAAGTTATTTTTTGTTTATTAATATAATAGCTTTTTTATTAAATAACTAACTAGTAGCATTAGAATTAAATAATAAAATAGTTTAATTATAAAAAATAGTCACAAGCTTTTATTATAACTTGTTTAAAAGCTATTTTAATTTTATTATTAAAATAAGTTTTTTATTAAATAACTAGCTAGTAGTATTAACATTAAATAATAAAATAATTTAGTTATAAAAAATAGTAATAGGCTTTTAATATAGTATACATAAAAACTATTTTAATTTTATTAGTATAGTAGCTTTTTTACTAAATAGCTAGGACTTAAAAATAAATACAAAGTAAATTTCCTTTTTTTAAAACAAAAAGTTATTTACTTTATTTATAAAACATTAGTAAGTTATATTAAAAGAATAGTTACTACTTTAGCTTTTATTTAAATATTAACTAACTTATTTAGTAGTATATAAAAAAGAAATTTTCTTAAGGTATTTACCTAGCTATGTTACTTTTTTTTAAAATTTATTTAGTAAATATATTTCTATAAATAGTACTTATATAGACTTGTTTCGTTATTTCGAATCCTTCTTAGCCTGGGATCCGTCGGTGTCAGGAGTTACGCAAGGTGGGAGCAACAACTTCTCTTCTATCACTGTCGGGATTGACCTGTTGATCCCTACCATCCTCGGGTTAGTTCGATACCTCTGTATCTCTCATGGAGAACTACTCAGTAAGTTTGAGGGGAAAAGTCCCGTTGTCCTCCTCTGAACTCGATAGGCTCGCACTCGTCGCGATCTTCAAATCATCACCGTCGCGGACCTCTTTCAAAAAAGAAGGCAGGGCGTAGAAATGCCGTTAATATGCGTGACAGACTAAGCTCTACAAAAGCCGTAGGAACGAGCCGGGCTGCCAGCTCTAATATGGGAAAGTTCGCGGAGTGGAACAATCGGTGATCACGTGATTTCATCCAGCCACTCGGTGAAACTTCTGTCCTGACTGAATGGTGTATATTTCGCAACGATTTCCGGAAACTCCCGCTCAATCTACGCTAGTAGAGCCTTCAGTGGTACATAAGAATGTGAAGTGTTTATGGGAGTTAGAGCCACATGTGGCGCAGCTCATGAGATGGCCACTTCAAGGGGAGCAAGAATTGGGCACCCAAGACGGTATGGGGGTACACACTACGGCATGGGATACCCACAGCATGGGGTACCCACTGCAGCATGGAGTGCCCATCACCGTATGGAGTACCCACCACGCCATGGGGTACTCACCGCAGCATGGTGTACTCCATACCGTGTTGGGTGCCCCATGTTGTGGGATGCCTAAGGATTTTGGCTGAGCGCATCATCATCATCATCATCATCATTCCTATTGGCTGTGCAGGGCTGCTAGCCCTATGTAGCCCCACTACTAGCCAAATCGCACTAATTAACTAGTTAGTTAACTACATATGCCATCCTATTACGGGATCTTCGGTTCATCCAACAGCCCACTGTCGTGTTGACTTAAATTCTACGTCCTCTTCAGATCTCAGGCCGCTGAAAGTTGTGAATGTGCATTAGTGGCCCGATTGAGGACCCTGTCTTCCCGTTTTCAGAGCAAATTTGATGACTGTCCGGACCATCTTCACATTTGGTTTCCACTTTTCTATTGGTCCATCAGGACTTGACCTGTCAGGATTTACATAAGACGATCTGCCCCCTAACATGTACGACATATCACCGTAACGCTCCTTTTCTTCGTTGATTATGTCTTCGCGAAGGTGTTGATATTGTTGGCAGTGAAGTAGAAAATGTCGTGTGTCTTCTTCAACGCTTCCAGCAGTAAGTAACTGTTACTGTCAGCCAGTTCGAGGAGCAGTAACTGAAGGAGGAGGCCTTACTAACTGACTGTAGGCCAAATTTTGAGCGTGATTACTGGCAGTAACAGTAACTGCTTACTCAGCTCACAGAGAGTTACTAGTAGGTGTAGTTACTGCAGTAACTGGAGTTACTAGAGGCTCTGAGGGCCAATTTTCGTCAAGTTTTCGACGCCTGTTAATGTGATCGGCTAGGGAATTGAGCTCTAAGTTAACGGCCCTATATACGAGCCAATTACGCTGTAGTTGAAGCGCCTCAATCATTGAAGGAGATAGAATATTCCTGTCAATAGAGATCGTTCTTTAAGCCTTACTAAAACACCTCTCGCACTCACAGGAAGTAGATGGGATGGCTAGGAAGTTGAGGGTGATTTTAAGGAGGGTTGGGTAACACGCCTGCCCAACTTAAAGCCACTAAGTAAGCGGATTACTGTAGATTAGATTATTAGGTTGAGCAATCATCAGGTTGACTATGACGTCATTAAAGTACTTTTAAAGCTCATTCAAGCTGCGAGCCCTTTTGTGGCTCTGGTTACTAGTTTATAGGTATAAATTAACAGCCAGAGTGTTCTCATACGCCTTATTGTGATAATTACTATCTAGTGTTTTGTAATATTAAATCTTAGGCACCTGTACCTTAAACTTGCTTTCTGGTTTTAGATATTACTAGAAGATATCGCGCATGGATTTTTCAGCCTTCTTATACTAATCTAGGTACTCTATTTACTTATCCTTAAACTAGAGTAAGCGTAGGTGTGGATTTAAGGCTATTATAACATAATAGTATAATATAAGCAGCTTTAAGACGATAAGATTAAAGTAAGTAGTAAGCTTCTATATACTAAATTCAGTCACGCTTTTAATATATAATTAAGAGCTTTTATCTTTAAGAGAGGCCTTTATCTTGTAAAGCTTAATTTAGAGATATTATAAGTTAATAAGTGTTTACTAGAAAGAGTTAAATTTAAAGCTACTAAAGTTACTCTCTAGTTTTAAAGTTATTTAAAAATATAGCTCTAGGAAGTTTTTAAGGGCATTAACTTTTTTCTAGTCTTTATTAGTAAGGCTATTAGCTAGAGAGTTATAGTCCTACTTAAAATTCTAAATAGAATTACTTTACTACTATTATTATTAGATAAATCTTAAAATTATATTTTTAAGTTTAAAACAACGTAGAAGCATACGGTAAACTAAGTGCTAGTAAATTCTATTATTTTAAATTAAATAAAAGCTCCTAAAGCTCTAGAAAGAGTTTTTTTTACTTAGATTTTTTTATATAGCCGTAAAAAGCTCACGACGCTTGTAGAAAGAGAGAATAGTATTTATAAAGTTATAAAGCTTTCTAACTATATTATGTTATTAGTATAAGTTAAATTAGTTTTAAGAAACTGCCTAAGCTAGTTCTGCTTTAAATTAACTTATATTTTTACTATAAATAATTACTTTAATAATAAAATTAATTATATACCCTACGCAGCGTATACGGTGCTTAGTGTTAATAAAAAGCTTAAAATAACTATTTAAACTAGAGATAAGTTTTCTATTATTACTAGTTACATTATCACCTATAAAATAATAGAATTTTAATATAATACTATAGTTATTAATAATATAGTATAAAGCACGTGCGATATTGCTATTAGTGTAATTTCTAAATAAATTTTTAAATCTAATAATTAGGTCTTAAAGTTAATTATTTATATTAATAAAGTAGACAACGACTCCTAGAAATAAATAGTAATTAAGTAAAGTCTATATGTCTAAGCTTAACGTAATTTTACTTTATAATATATTTAGTACTATTTAAATCTCTTCTTTCCACTCTATAATGCTATTGCGGATGTAGTTTGAAAAAGTAGTAGCTAAAATAAAAGAACGTTAAGAAGGTTAAGTTAATTTTAACTAATAAGACCCTAAAGTTCTACTAAAGTAACGTGGTTAAAACTCTAGTCTTAAAGAATCATCTAGTTAATAAACGCCCTTAATAGAGTATTTTCCTGCTATAGTATGTAGCTACTATTAGTATAACTACCTACTGCCCTTACGGTAGCCTCCTATGGATTCTATGCCTTCTAATAGTTATCTAGTAATAATTCTTAAATCTTGACATTAATTTTATGCTCCTTAAGCAGGTGGGTCGCGATATGGGTGGTGGAATTAACAGCTTTTATAGCTAACTATAATTCTTTTAGGTAGCATGTTTTACAGAGCTAGAGCTTTATACGCTAGTCTTTCTTATTAATAAACTATAAATCCGCACTAAAAAGCCATACTTAAGAGGCCTTCTGATTACCAGAAACCTGACTAAAATGCCTCACCTGATAACCTAGCTATTCTAACTTCAAATAGCAAGCTCCAAGCCAGATATTTGACTAATTAATTAAGAACTTAATTCCAGCGTTGAGGCGTGCGTCCTCTGGAAACACCTGTGATTACTCATCAAGCTCATACAACGGAGTCAATTCACGAGAAATAGATTGAACTAAGGGCGGCGATAAGGCTCTAGCCTTCTCAAGACATCAAGAGGCAGCAAAATGAGCCTTTGGAGCACTTGGGCCAGCTCTAGCAGGTGCTAATCACCTCTGGAGGCGTCTCTGAGAGAAGAACGAGCTTTGGGAGCTCATATTGATCAGTAAGTGATTTTTTGAAGACGGATTTGACACTGGATTGATCACTGAATTGAGAAGTATAGGCCATCGGGATTGTGTGGAAAATCGACGATTTTTGACCTGTTACTCCCACTGGTTCCACGACAGATCTCGCGCGTACGAGCGCGTACAAACACCTCAACAAAACGCGTATAGGCCAGTTACTGCAGTAACTACAGCCTCACGAGCAGTAAGTAACTGCTCAGAGAGCTCTACTCTACTGACTGCTTACATAATGGCCAGTAACAGTAGTTTACTGACAGTACGACCGACCGATGGAAGCGCTGGTCTTCTTTTCCCTGACCGCATCCACAAAGATCTCTCTCCTCCGCTCCAATTCTCGCCAGGAAGCCCCGGAGTTTGGAGTGACCCGTTCGGAGTTGTGCTAGTACATATCTGGGCCTCTGTCCTTGTCAATGTGTCGTAGAGCGACCTAACATGCTTTCCCGGTGCTGCCGAGTCAACCTCTTTGAGGTGCCTGCCAGTGGTCCATTTGTGGATTGGTCTTGCGGCCGGTTGGGCCCTTTCGAATTTTCCTGCCACGGCGGACCTAAACCTGCCTGCCAGCCATGGGAGAGTGTGCTTCTCGCTCTCTGTTCTTGTGGTTGCAGCCGCATACTCGTGTGCTGCCTCGTTTCCTGGTACCCCCGAGTGGCTAGGGATTCATGCTAGTCGGATCTGTGTCCCTCGCTCTTGTTCTCTACATAGCACTTTCGCGATGTGCCGGATCATGGCTTGCCCGCTCTGGTGTGCTGGGTTTGCGACGGCTTGGAGTGCCGACATGCTGTCTGAGTATACTGTGGCGGTCCGCGGCCCTGGGACACCGCTAAGTATTGTCTCTGCCCAATCCACCGCCTCCACGATAGCCCTGAGCTTCGCAACGTAAACATTGATTCTGTCCTCTGTGCCTATTATGCGTTGCGCGTGAGCTAATTCCGTGTTATCTCTCTAGAGGACGACGCTGCACCCTACTTTCCCATTTTTCATAGACGCGTCCGTGAACATCTGAACTTCCTTTTCTTGCGCATCTGAACATCGTTTCGCGGCTTCTTCTCTGTCCGAGATGATGTTTACTATACCTTGTCGTGGTTTGCCCCATGGAGCGGTTGCGAAGGCGTATATAGTTTCCATGTTAGATAGTGGTTCTGGCTGGGATAACGCCATATGTATGGTTAGACGTTTGTGCGCCTCTGAGCAAGCCGCCTCTTCTAAGACTATTCAGAAGCAGTTTGTGATGGTTTTAGTGGCCACTCGCTGTATAGGCCCTAGCATCTGCTGCATTCACCTTGGTAAGGCCTTTCCTAGGTGCTGTGGAAACCATACCGCCGCTGCATAGTCAGTCCTAGATGTCACGGTGGTAATGCTGATTCCCCTGCAACGTGGAAGCATTGCTCTTGCAGCAACCGTGCTGCGTCACTGTTTTTTGTGACGTGTACTACCATAGATCCGTAGGCCTTGCCTGAGTCCTTTTGCTAAGCCAGTCAATCTTGGCTATGTGTACTCCATTTTCTTCTCTTAGGGCTGTCAAGGCCTCTGGTCGGACATCTCCTTTATTATCGAGGATTGCTGATCGGTTGGCGTTGTCTACTCTGACTCGGTAAAGTTGGTCGCGCAGTACTCGTACGCCTCTTATTGCCGTTTTCTGTGCTGCCTCTTTCACCTGCTGGAGCTCTAGCTCGTCTCTACATGTTACCCTAATCCGGTCTGGGTTACGGGGGTCTCTAATTACGGCCACGCATCGCCGGTTTCCTCGTTCTTCCATCATACGTAGCTCTTTCTCGATAGCTTGTCTGATTGTTCCTGGTTGTGCCTTCTGCTTGTCTTCCTTCTCAACCCTTGATGTGTCCACTGTGCAATAAAGTGTGTCAGTTACCGTCAACGCCGTCGTGTTCGCGGATAGGCTACGCAGGAGTAAGTCATGTGGTGTTGGCTCGAAGCCCTCCATTAACGGGGATGTCTGAGCCAATGATTTCGCGGAGTCGGAAAATATTATATCCGCGTAGGATCGCTCTTCTTAGCTAATCTTTAGTGATCTGATGGCTGATCATCCTCCCTTATCTCCTCCTTTGGGCCCTTCGCCTTTCCTTGCATTTCCGCCTGGTCGCACCCTAGCATAGCTGAAGCTGCGCCCATTAATTCCTATAATCTGGCACTCGGCGTCAATATATCTTCATGCTGATAAGAGCTTTTTTCACAGCCGCCCTCGTTTTGGCCACTCTGACAGGAGTCTGATCGTCGAACGCGACCCTACGATTTTCCCTGCGACTTCCCTCTGCTTTCAGTCCCTACAGTTACTAGCGAAACCGGCTTCCCTCGAACGCGGCTGCAACAAAAGTTCTACCCGCTTGTGAGCGAAAGTCTTGGCATCCTAACTTACATATCCGGTAAGCCGCCGTTCCTGGAGGCACGTGATTTGCCATAGTACAAGAGGGTACTTCTCTATTACAGAAAGATTCAGTTATCATTACATTCATTAGGCGGGTAACATAACGGCGGCATTTTTGAACAGAATGATATACTAGGCGATACCGATATACAAAGCTTAATAATGCACGTCTGCTATGAAATAAATCGGATTTTTGGACTTCTGTTGGAGTATAGAAATCTTCCCCATAGAATGAATGTAGCGTTTCAGACCAAACCATGACTATCAGCCCTTGCAACTTGCGCTACCTCTACCAAGGTGTCAGCCCTAGCGCAGGCGGCGACTACAATTCTTTGCCATGGAAGCTTGGCCTCCTCACGCAAACCAACTCTGCTTGCTAAATTTTATAGGCAAGGAAGAGGAGGGATCAACGAGCGATAGCGTTAGAGCGAATGCACAGCATAAGCTATTGAGCTCAGCATTCTTGTATATATCTATTCAGTCTGTGGTCGATGGAAACTCCATATCATGTTGGCTTTGGAACACTCTGTTGTTGTGCAATGACCTGAAGCTCAGTATGAAAGCCCAATATGACTAACCGATTACATGATGTGGTGCTCTATTTCTACGAAGTAATCTTGATTTTATAAACGAGGAATGAAGATGTGTATGGGAAATAAGAGAACCACTAACCAAGAGAGCGGGTTCATCAACGCCTGAATTAACTCCGAGTTTGAATGCTAGCGTCTAATATACATTTGTGGAAATATTCTAAAGTTTCGAGCTCCCCTGAAGTTCTGTTCCGTTACAAAACTCAGGCAGTCCTTGCCCTACAAAATCATGGCAGCTCCAGCCTTCTTTCTCTCCTACGATATAAATATCTGTAACCGAGTGCTGGCCTCTCAGGTAGCACCATTGCTTGTATACTGAGTTCTCCTGTTGATCCTCCTGAAGATCGTCTCCTGACGATCTTCTCCTGACGATCTTCTCCTGACGATCTTCTCCTGACGATCTTCTCCTGACGATCCCCCCTATCGACATTACAAGCACATATTTAAGTAGGATAGCCATCCATAGTTTTCAATTCATGAGGTTGCTCTACATCTTTACCCTGCGTCCGGTCAGAATATCAACACATCCAGAATTCGAATTAAAGATTAACGGACTGCTGCCAAACTTCATTGTCGTAGTCTCGGTATTACAATTGTTGATTGCGCTTAGAAAGTACTGTTCGCAATCTGACGTCTCAAGACTATTCTTTAGAGGCTTGTCAAACTTATAGCATCCCTCTTGATCCTTGCACCACTTGGTCGCAAGATGCAGAGTAACGCCACTGTTCTTATATGTTTTGAATGTCGAGGAATCGGAGAGCGAGCGCGGTGCAGAGCAGAAATCGGATACGGCCTGTTTAGCTTGTTCGAGAGTGAAGGAGGTGTGTCCGTTCGTGTTAGCGCAGTTATTTATGACTACTGGCTTTGGGTTGTGGGGACCACAGTTGGTAGGAAAAGGAAGCTGGAAGCCAGTTATACATTTGAAGCTTTTCTTCTGCTCAGCGACGATTTTAAATCCAAGCATGGCGACGTCGAAAGGGCTGTATGGATTTGGGAAACCTGGTGTTGTCTTTGAGCCAGCTGGCGCAGTGGAAGTCGGTACTGTGGATGATGTCGATACTAAGGACGATATCGAAGACGGTACTGGTGCCGAAGATGTCTTTGGTTTATCCTGCTCCTCCTCATTTCTGGTCTGCTCTTCTGCGTCTTTGACCTTCTGTTGGGTTCGGACCAATTCCTCTGCCGTAGCTGCGCCTGGATTCGCTATGGCAGCCCCAGCGGCACTGCTGGCCCCCGATAATGCATCGATAAGAGCAGCAAAAGCAGGGATGGAGGTGCCAACGGCCAAGGCCGCGGCGAGTGCTCCGTCAATGTCGCCTTTAGCTTTTTGAGCGTTCTCTTTAGTGGGACTGTCCTTGTATTTGTCAATTGCTTTGCCAGCTTTGCTAGCCGCATTTGTTGCTTTCTCTTTGGCGTCTTTGGACGTGTCCGGTGGATTCGGGGTTGGACTCGCCAGTAGAGCTGAAGTTGGCGTGGATACCGGCGCTGACGGTGTGGGTTGTTGAATTGTGTCGGCCTGCCTGAGTGAATACTCAGAGCTTGAGATTTGGCCAACCTGGCTGCCGCCGTCAACCATTCACTAAGGCAGCTGGCAGGCATTATATAAGCAGACAGCCTTATATAAATCGTCAGTAGTTAGTTAGCTTAATACAACAATCAACTGATTTCACCAACTTTGCCTACCAACAAATTGGGGTTCCCACTGTGAAGTTTGGAGGGTCTTGTCTACGAGTGGAAAGAGGTGGTAGAATAGAGGATAGCGAATCTGTAGTCCCAGGTATGATCCAAGGGGGGTCATTCTTGAGAGGATGAGCGTAAAGTGAAGGAGTAAGAGCGAGAATTTGCAAGAGTACCGCGCGTTTATTCATCTTTTATAAACAGATAGTCAGGAAGTAAGTACAATGGAAGTGCCAAAGCAATAGAAATAGTAATCTAATGTAGGTAGAGAGTGATGCTGTTGCGAAATGAAGTGGCTGTTTCAAGATGTTATATCAATCAAGCTCGCCTTTCTGGATACAGTCTGAGCTAGGGAGAGGGAACCTAATTTCTACTGCGGATCGCTTTTCGGGCGACAACTAGGCAAGCCGTGGGCCAAGTATTGAGGCTTCTAAATTTTATTGACATTCTGTCCTTCTGAAACCGTTTGGAGGCTTTGCAGCGTCTTAGGCAACTAAGTTACAAGTGAACTGGACGCAAAGGATTGGAGATGGATGTAACGGTAAGCAAGCAATTGCAACCAATAGTTCGTGCATTGATGCTTTGGTTACTGATCAGAGCACTCTATGTTGACTACACCACTCTACCAACGCCTCGCCGCTCCGTACTATGGTACGAGCCTAACTGGGTACTCTCTACTCCAATCATCACTTTCTATTGGCCATTGGCCATCTTTGCGTGCACCATTTCTTGAAATATGTCCTCTTTCTTACGCTTAGTGCAGGATTGCGGTTATGCAGGCGAATTCAAAATTCGGGCGTAAAGGTATCCGACAACAAACAATACCACCACCGAGGCTAAATTTACTGCTATGAATAACTCCAGTTTTACCAAAAGAATGCTGTAGCTTGTTTCACTGTTTATTTATAGGGCGTATAGAGTTTTTCTTCAAGGCTGGTGCGGCGACGAGTGCGCTTACGTTATGAGGCGAGGACTCGGGCGTTAATACGATCGGGCGACGATGAACGGGTCCCGAATACTCCAAGTTATACATGAAATCTTGCTGAGCAGAATATTGGTTACCATATTATTATCCAATTACGGTTTGAAGAATCTTAGGCGCTCCACGCGTTCCTTTCAAGTAGAGAAAGTAAGATGTCAAGCATCCAAGCCACATATCGTTCGATAATTCTTAGGACTGATTCAAATCGCTTCCTGCCCACCGTAACTAAGCCAATAGTTGGTACTAAAAAAAGCAACGTTGAATAGAGACATCAGTGATCCATCCGTACGACTCATGTGTATAGCCATAACTGCACTTCCCTTTGAGCTCCAAGTAAAAGCTAAATAGCCCTCAAAA